AGTTCGTCTCGGCAGGCGCGAGTGTGTGAGTTACAAACAAAGCAGGCAACATTAAACGGAAGCTGATGGGCTCACTCACCAACACACTCACATAAGCAAACAAAGCAGCAACTGTTTCAAAACGAGCATAGATGAGTGTCGTGACTGTCGAATGACCAGATCGGTGATGGATCACAACCGAAGACGACATTCACCAGTTGCTTTTTACTTCTTTCGTCAACTTGATGGATGGTCATGGAGAGAGCTTCGACGAGCACATTGATAGGAATGTACCAAGCGTTACTACCATAAGCTGTTTGACGATCGTGATTGTGATAGGTCGCAACTCTGATTTTTATTTTCGTTAAATTAGATGCTTTTTCGAAAATAAAAATACATGGAACACCTAATAGCTTTAATTTTAACCGAACTGGCAATCAACCGAGGGGGACGACTCTATTTACGATGTAGAAAAGATTGTGTTTTGCTGTGGCTAGCTGCGCGCACGCTGAGTTGATAGAAAGAAGATTGATGACGATTCTGAAGATTTCCTGCAAAAAGATGATGCTCGATGCAAGTAGATGCGACAAATGAAAGAAGATTTTTCGAAGATTGATTCGCTAGTGTGAGATTTGTTGAGCATCCTAACTTGAGATTTAGGTGTGTCGCCCCCCTCGCGATCAACAGATGTTTTCTGTTTTTGCTTCTAAAGTCGATATTTTTGGAAATATGGTCAAATCTCCATACATTTTGTTTGTATATCTTTTAACCCATAGAAAGGTGGCACAACTGACAGCTTACATTAATCCATTATCCAATATAATAAGCATACATTCAGAGTACACACTCAGAATGCAAATTAACAGTATAAAACAATTAGGAACCTTCTGAGGGGGCACAAACCAAGCTGAAGCGGGTGCAAAACATCCCTGCCTCCCTCAAGGCCCAAGCGCAATGACGGCGGAAGCGGAACGGCAACGGCAGCGGAAAAGCCCGATCTGAGTAAGCCTATTTGCCGGATTGAAAACTAGTTAGATCCAAATCGACTTCGGTTAGGCATCTTGATGTCATTAGTGACAACTGTCAAACTTTCCGTTTCCGTTCCGCTTCCGCTCACATTGCGTTTGGGCCTTCACTTCTTATGCCAATGAGTGCGTTTCAGAAACTATCAATTGATTACCGTAAGCTGTCAGTAATGGCCGCACAATTATTGACAGCATGGCACCACCTTCAAATGGGGAAAATTTCTAGACCACAATTGAAATAGGCGGAACAACCAAACGTAAACAACGATAGAGTAAGTTTGCTCTTTCAGATGCTGGTGTTAGATTGCTTGAATGCGTTTTGGTTATCGAGAAATTTGCGTTTAAAGCCATTGTGTACGTTTGGTTGTTTCGCCTATTTCAAATGTTAATCTAGATTTTATTCAAAAAAAAAATGTATGAAGATTTTAAAAGTTTTGCAAAACCATCGATTTTAGCAGAAAAAGTAGAAAAAATATAAGGTCTATCTATTCTTCTTCTTCTTCGCTTTTCAAGCTTATTACATATCGCAAATTAGCTTATTGCGTGTTCTCAACTTAGTTTTCTACTAGATGCACTTCCACAGTTATTAATTGAGAGCTTTCGATGCCTGTGCCATTTTTGCATTGGTATAATTGTGTGGCAAGTCCAATCATACATACTTCTATGCCCAGGGAAGTCGAGAAATTTTCCAACCCGAAAAATACCTAGACCGGACCGGGAAATTGAACCCAGCCACCTCCAGCATGGTCTTGCTTTGCAGCTGCGCCTTTGCCGACTGAGCAAAGGGAGACCCCAAGGTTTATCTATATAGTTGGGTAAAAATTAAATCTATAAGTGTACCAAATATTTTTTTCGAATAAGGTCCTAAATCAATCACCGGAACTTTTTGATTTACTAGCGACATCTGTTGCAAAAATCAACCATGCTACTATTCCATTGGAAAGCAGCGAAAGGCGAAAATATGCTCGATTTTTGAAGTTAGCATCAATTAAATCCTATGCTCTCAAACTTCTAGAAGAAACTACTTCACCTATGTTGCCAAAAATGTTTCACAATTTAGTGCAAAAATGACCTAACAATAAGAATCAATACTCCCTAAGTGAATCCTGTTAAAAACTATTGAAAAAAATCTGTTTTAGAATATTTGCAGAGAATTCCTCGACGTGTGGTAAAAGGACGAAATATCATTTACAAATACCTCCTAGCGTGTAATTTCATCAAATGTAGCATAATTTTGAAAAAAAAAATATTATTTTGGTATACTTTCAGAAAATTTTAATCCAAGCATGCCAAAACCGCAATCCATCTGCGATAATTCCGGAGTGATTTGAGATTTGGGTGTAATTGCTTTTGTAAACAAACACGTCAATCGCCCATTTCTCGCGAATGAAATCTCAATTTCGAAAATTAATAGCACTATAAGGTGATGGAATTATTCCTCTTTCATTTGGCATAGCTTGTTTAACAGAGTGAGGCTTTATTCACGAGAAATCGGCGGTTGACGTGTTTGTTTACAAAAGCAATTACTACCAAATCTCAAATAACTCCGGAATTTCGGAAAACTTTGAGATTTGCACGTAATTGCTTTTGCAAACAAACACGTCAATCGCCGATATCTAGCGAATAAAAGCTCAATTTCGCGAACAAACTATACCAAATGAAAAAGGAATCATTCATATACCTGATTGTGCTATTAGTTTTCAAGATTGAGTTTGTTAACAAAAGGAATAACGCCCTAATCTCGAAATTATCCGGAATTCACAAAGCACATTGAAGTGTCTACTATTCGAAAATGAAATGAAAATGAGATTTACCATTTTTCAGTATTGAAAATGACGTAACATTTGACGACCCCTCGCCGATTGCAGTGAGCAGAAAGAATTCGCGTATGCATGAAATCCTATTGGAATTGCTGCATAATCTAATAAGATCGCCAATCGAAGCCAATCGAGTCAGCCAGGAATCGAGAGAATTAAATTGCATAACTTTTCTCCCACACTGATCGCAAGCTTTCAGCAACACTCAGTAACAGCACGTTGTGAATCACTTCACTCTTGAAATTGAAACCTTCCTTCAATTTGAAGAGTAGTTTATACTCAATTTTCGAAACCTCACCGACAATCGAGATAACACCGAACGTTCACACCGTCGTCGGTACCTGTCTATGTACATGCCATATTAAATGTAAACCGAAACGATAACGAAAATAAAAAAATTCTCAGCATAACTCAACAAAATCAACGAATCGAACCTTGATTGCTTTCTAAACGAAAACCCTATGCACTAAGCAATAATATTTACAGATTCTATACAGAGGAGATTCTTCTAGCTTATAGCTCATCATTCGTGAAAAACCCTATCCGTCAGTTGCTGACATTTTTTTTCGATTTTCACTTCTCCGACCTCCGATAAGAGCCACCCTAATATGTATTAATACGCACGCGTACGTTTCGCAAATTGCAGCGTTAATCTTACGTTATCGTCCCTATAAGCCATGTGTTTAAATCGAAGCGTGTGTGTGTGTGTGTATTAACTGTTTCGTACGTACGTATGTGTCTCTGATTTTGGTTTGAACTTGAAAGAAGCGCGTTTGTCTGCTCTCTAATAAACATTTGCAACAATTTGCCCACGCATGTTCCACGGGGTAAAATACGCATCGGTTAAAAAACTTACACAATCCAACATGAGGCAACTGTCGTCATTTCAAAGCATTTTTCTAAAGTTAGTTTTGGGTTCCTTTTCGGGCTTCCACTTCTCTCCCGCTGAGTAATACTTAGGTTATAACTAAAACATATACGAATGAACTGTCGTCTTTATACAATTTTCGGGTCAATTAAACACAACTCGCACTTTCTTAAAACTCGTTCCAATGCACTAACAGTTTCACCGATCCTGTGCAATTTTTTTTCTCCCTCCACTACCTTTCATTCTACAGTACTTGTCCTATAGGGTCCATTAGATATCGGGGGAGAGAAATAGTTTTGAATACTGGAGTGTTTGCTTGTTTGCAAGTGTTGGTATGTATATGTGTATGTTTGTGTTTGTGTAGGTTGATTTGTATGTGTGAATGAGTTTCCTTTCAACTATGTCACGCTGTTGAGTATTGGTTTAGTCCTTAAAATTTGTTGGTAATTAGCATTTTTGTTTTTAAGTTTCCTTTGCCTTGCTTGATTTGGTTTTAGAGAAAAGATATACACATATGACTATTTGAAGTTTCCTTCGCTTTTTTGTTTATACGTTGAATATTTTTTCTGTCTTTTTTTTTCATTTTTTGATTTATTTACTTGATCTAATTATTAAACTTCTATAATTAATATCAATTTTATTGTATTATTTCCTTCATTAATTTTCTGTTTTTTTTTTCGCAAGTAAACTTAGCTAGTCCGATAATAATAGTACAACGGAAAACGAAACATGAGAAGAAGAACGAACTTAAATCATCACCTACGGTCGATTGCATTTTCCGCGCCATTCTATGTGTCTGTGTGTTTGTATGCCTTTGCCTTGATCACTTCGGAGGGTCTTGAGCACCTGGGAACTTGTGGTAGTGTAAAAACTATTGACGAATTTCACCCGTTTTGAACTTTTAGTAGTCACCACTGTGAGTTGCATTGAAATTTGTTTTTTTTTTCTTGTTATTCACGAAATTCGGTTTCATTTGCTTTAGCCGAGGAATATCTTGATCGAAAAGGTTGCAATTTCCCTGAATGGTCAGCGCATTTTTCCTGATGCTATTGAAGTACCAATTTCAAACAGGTGTTCCCATTTTCCTTTGTTTTCAGAACCAAAATCCGAATAACTATCTACACAATTTGGTTAAAATAAAAAATGTATAAAAATATATATATATTTTCTCTAAAGTTCAAAAAATACTTTAGTATTAGCAGTCAATGTTTGCTGTATACAAACATTTTCAAAAATAATGCTAAGCTTCTCCAATCTACAGTCATAGTAGCATAGTAAAGTCTGACTTTTACTATTGTTCATTTGTCGCAATGTTTGCCTACTTAAATCTCCGATGGAGCCCCGTGTGTGTGTGTGTCTCTCGCTCTCTCTATAATATGTAGTTAGTAATACTCACTAGTCTGGATCGCTTCCCAGAAGCAGCTTCAACGTTCGTATAGCAGTTGGAAAACAAACATAAACAAGAACTCATTGTTGAGCCTGGTGCAGAACCAAACCAGCTCGTTAAAGTAACCGTAAAAAAGCACCTTCAAGCTGCCCGCTCGTCCGCCGGTGTTATTGGTGGTGGTGGTCCGACGGCGGCCGTAGTCGTTATCATTCGGATCGTACCCCAGCAGACGCCGCCGTCCTCGCAATCGCCTTGGTAGACGTGTGCCGTCGAGATAGAGATGCGATGATCTTCTTCTACGCGATTTGTGACTTAGTACACCAACACGGACTCCATCGTTATCGTATCTCATTTAGCAGAGCCCCCACTGTTGGCATGGTTCTGCTGCGACAGGGTCAACGACGACGAGTCGACGATACTGCTACCGCTACTGCTGGTGCCGGTTCGTCGTGCCAGGCGGGATCTATGCGAAGGAGATTATGAGAAAATTAGTAAGATGAAAAACGGTTCTCAAATCCAAATAAAAAATGAAGACCGATCGGAATGAATCTTCAGATGATTTTGTGAAAACGACTGAAAAAAGAAGCGACATTTATCTGAAGATTTAATTCACAGACGAAAGATATTTAAATAGGATGGCAATTATTTTTAAATCTTTGATTTTCCAAGGCCTGATAAATGAACCGTTGCGCGATAAAGTAATACATATCCATGGACCAAGGCTGAAAGCCCCCCTAATAAAGATAAATTAATTAAATTAATACATATCCACCTGAATAAATGTTACAGCAGACGCAATTATTCAAAATAAAGGGTGATACGGTCAAAATTTGGTCAATATCAACTTGACGTATTTCTTTCAATTTTGCATTTAAAAAACCTGAACACCCCTCATTTTGAAGGTGTGTGTGTGTAGAATGTTGCTCCTATTTTGATTTTGGAATTCACTCTTCAGTTGTCAAAATGCCGTCCAAGCAAGAAGAGAAGCGTATCAAAATTTTGCTCGCGCATCGCGATAATCCGAGCTACTCGCACGCAAAGTTGGCAAAATCGCTAAAAGTTGCCAAATCAACCGTTACAAATGTAATTAAAGTGTTTGGGGAACGTTTGTCGACAGCCAGGAAGTCTGGATCGGGGGGAAATCGAAAACCGGAAGCCGCTGAGGCGACAAAGAGAGTTGCCGGTAGTTTCAAGCGAAACCCTAACCTCTCTCTCCGAGATGCCGCAAATAAGCTGGGTGTATCGTCTACAACCGTGCATCGAGCCAAAAAACGAGCCGGACTATCGACTTACAAGAAGGTAGTGACTCCAAATCGCGATGATAAACAAAATACGACGGCCAAAGCGCGATCCCGGAGGCTGTACACGACGATGCTGACGAAGTTTGACTGCGTGGTAATGGACGACGAAACCTACGTCAAAGCCGACTACAAGCAGCTTCCGGGACAGGAGTTTTATACGGCAAAAGGAAGGGGAAAGGTAGCAGATGTTTTCAAGCACATGAAACTGTCAAAGTTCGCAAAGAAATATCTGGTTTGGCAAGCCATCTGTACCTGTGGCTTGAAAAGTAGCATTTTCATAGCTTCCGGGACTGTCAACCAAGAAATTTACGTGAAAGAGTGTTTGAATAAACGTCTGCTGCCTTTCCTGAAGAAACACGGTTGTTCCGTACTGTTTTGGCCGGATTTGGCATCTTGCCATTACGGTAAAAAGGCCATGGAGTGGTACGCCGCCAACAACGTGCAGGTGGTTCCCAAGGACAAGAACCCTCCCAACACGCCAGAGCTCCGCCTAATTGAGAAATACTGGGCTATTGTCAAGCGGAACCTAAAGAAGACCAAAAAAACTGCTAAGGGCGAGCAGCAGTTCAAGGCAAACTGGCTTTCTGCGGCGAAGAAGGTGGACAAGGTGGCTGTACAAAATCTGATGGCAGGGGTCAAGCGTAAGGCCCGGCAATTCGGATTTGAAAAAGCGGAAGCCTAACTGAATATTTTCCCTGAATTTTATACTAATTGAACTTGAAAAAGAAATTTAATTTGATTTTTTAAATAAACGATTTCACCGATTTACACGCGTTTTCCCTTGACCAAATTTTGACCGTATCACCCTTTACTCGAACAATTGATTATGTTCAACAAATTTCCCCAACTAAATTGGACCAATGTGATTACGTTGCGTTGCGTTGCGTGTGTAACGGAGTAATTCGTAGATTACATACTGGTAGCTGTCATGTATCAACTTTAACGTTCTTATTTCGATTGCTTAAGGAAAACTATTTGGGAGTGAACAGTTCTCCAATCAAAGTTCAGAACAGGAAAAGCATGACAATTACCATTGCCGGCCACGCCCATCTTCTCCGCTACGGGGAAAGCAAGGATCTTGTTGATGTACTTAACGGGAGGTCAGTGACTCACCGACGCCCCCATAGATGCTACGGAGTTGGGTAGTTTGGTAGGAGATGGGTCAGGATTCGCTTAAGCAGGCGATGCGACCAGTAAGCAATAGTGGTAGCCGCCAAGCTAGCCTGGGCTATAAAATGGTGAGTGACAATCTGGAAGGAGCGATATACCTTGCTCCGGTCCTCACAAGTTCCTACCTCCCGCCTCCACGAGTCATATGATCACAAAAGACTGCCAGCTGAAACATGGACACAGCTGGTTGGCGTAGCCTGGGCAATAGTGTCAATCCGACAATAGCAGAGTGAGGAGGTGCGACGCGAACACTGGCGCGGTAACCATAGCACGGTGATAGAGGAAATGCTTCGCCAACCCGAGCGTCTGTTCACCATGGAGGTGCGGCTCAAACAGCGTCTGACTGGCATCCAGCGGCTGAATAAGAAATGCTCTTCCCCGGAAGCTACACCTAAGATGACAGCCCCATCACGGCGGATAGGAGACCTTAGGCCAACCACCTACTGTCTCTGAAACCTTTACAATTGTTACAGAAACCAACTGAGAAAGACATCGAACTGATTTAACGGCAACGACTTTTAGCGCAAAACAACGGACACGAATTGGATCATGGAATGTATTGACGTTAGCCCAGCAGGGTAAACTGGCACAGCTCGCCAACGAGGCGCGACGCATGAAGCTAGAAATCCTGGGACAGAGTGAAGTTCGTTGGCCAAACTTTGGAGAACACAAACTGCCGTCGGGACAGATACTACTATACTCTGGTATTCGAGGTGAAAACGCTCCCCGCCATCGTGGAGTTGGTCTCCTACTTAGTGTTCAGGCAAGTGCTACGCTCATCAAGTGGGAGCCTGTTAATGAGAGGATAATCGTTGCCAGATTTAGAACACGGGTTCGTAACCTTACCATAATCCAATGTTATGCGCCAACCGATGCTGCCGAGCTACAGGACAAGGAGAATTTTTACAGTCAACTGAATGCCGTCGTGGATAAGGTTCCAAAGGGTGACATCAAGATCTACACTGGCGACTTCAATGCGAAGATCGGCTCCGACAACACGGACTATGAGCGTGTCATGGGACGCCATGGTCTCGGCGAAATGAGCGAGAACGGTGAGCTGTTTGCAGAATTTTGTGGCAATAACGACATGGTGATCGGGGGCTCGCTCTTCCCCCATCAGCCAGTGCACAAAGTCACGTGGGTTTCCCGTGATGGACATACCGAAAATCAGATCGACCACATCTGCATCAGCCGAAAATGGAGACGGAGCCTTCTTGATGTCCGGAATAAACGCAGCGCCGACATCGCGTCTGACCATCACCTTCTAATCGCGGATCCAGCGACGGGAGGAGAGACTCGGGCGGCAGTTCAACACACGCCGACTTGAAGATCCAGCGATAAAAAGGTCTTTTGTTGAAGAACTTGAGACTCGAGCTGCGGGCGTTCCAGAAGGTGGCAGCGTAGAAGAACAATGGACGGCCATCAAGAATGCCTTAATAGAAACAAGCGAGAACAACTTGGGTGAGCTGCGCACCCAGAGGAAAGAGTGGATCACAGATGAAACCTGGCGGAAGATTGAGGAGCGTAGAGAAGCAAAAGCCGCGATAGAGCGGGCGAGAACCAGAGGAGCCAAGAACGAAGCCCATCAACGGTGCTCGGCTCTAGAGAAGGAAGTCAAGCGCTCTTGCAAACGGGACAAGCGAGCGTGGGTGAACTCCCTGGCCGACGAAGGGGGGAAAGCCGCAAACACTGGCGATATACGCCTCCTCTACGATATCTCACGACGGCTGAGTGGAACAAGGATGAACCCGAGGATGCCAGTGAAGGACAAGACTGGACAATTGCTTACCGACCCCACTGACCAGCTGAAACGCTGGGTTGAGCACTTCGAACAACTTCTTCAAGTTTCGACGGCCAACCAGCCATCAACATCTCAGCATGATCCGCCTAGGGTGCGGCGCATCACTCGCGTCAATTCCGAGGCCCCATCACTGCAGGAGATTGAAGCAGCTATCCGAAGCATGAAATCCAACAAGGCTCCAGGGGTCGATCGCATATCAGCAGAGATGCTCAAAGCTGACCCCATGCTATCCGCACAAATGTTGCATCAACTATTCTGTAATATCTGGGACACCGCGACTTTTCCGGCCGACTGGATGCAGGGCATCTTAGTGAAGGTCCCAAAGAAGGGGGATCTGACTGTGTGCGACAATTGGCGAGGCATCATGTTACTGTGTATTGTTCTCAAAGTTCTGTGCAAAGTTATCCTGAATCGGATACAGGAGAAGATCGACGCGACTCTCCGACGGCAGCAGGCAGGATTCCGTGCTGGAAGATCTTGTGTGGACCATATTGTCACGCTCCGCATCATCCTGGAGCAGGTCAATGAATTCCAAGAGTCCCTTTATTTGGTATTCATTGACTACGAAAAAGCTTTCGACCGTCTCAATCACGAGAATCGGTGGGGCGCCCTGAGACGCAAGGGAGTCCCGGATAAAATCGTCAACCTCATCGAAGCGCAGTATGAGGATTTCACGTGCAGAGTTCTGCATAACGGAGCCTTGTCCGACCCTATGTAAGACAAGGATGTATACTATAACCGCTACTGTTACTCATCGTAATCGACGAGATCATGGTAGGTGCAATTGACCGTGTACCGAACCGTGGGCTGCTTTGGCAGCCTAACACCATGGAGCATCTCAACGACTTCGATTTGGCTGATGATGTTGCTCTACTAGCACAACGGCGCTCTGATATGCAGAGTAAGCTCAATGACCTAGCAGAACGCTCCTCTGCGGCGAGTCTCACCATCAACGTCAACAAGACCAAATCGTTGGATATCAACACGGGGAACCCTTCCAACTTTACGGTAGCGGGGCAAGCAGTGGAGAAGGTCGAAAGTTTCCAATATCTTGGCAGCCAAATAGCGTCGGACGGCGGGACCAAGAGCGACATAGGTGCACGAATCAAGAAGGCTAGGGCTGCCTTTGCGAGTTTACGAAACGTATGGAGATCCAACCAGATAAGTCAACGCACCAAAATTCGAACTTTC